TTAGAGGATATTGATGACTATCGTAGAGGCCAAGTATTGTCAGTGGTTATCCCACCGGGAGTGGCTGACCTGGTCTTGCTGATATCTGTATTGCAAAGGGCCTACCGTTACATTGGAATGCCCTGTAACAAAGGTTCAGTCAATTTTAAAGTTAGTTTCCTCTTGTGGAGTTCCCTTTAAAATCATTATTTTCCCAATGGGTTTAATGTCTGATTCATTTAGTTCTAAATATATTTCACCTCTCTGGGCAAAGGATATGTGGGTGTCATTAGTTTCAACAGAGTCTTACCCTTGCAGGTGAACTTGGGCAGATTTGAATAGTCAAAGTATATGTGGCCCCAAAGCATCAGGGACTTGAAAACAAAAACTGGGTCGGCTGGATGCCCCTACCGTCTGTCTGTACAGGAGCTGAGTCCGATGGAGAGGGCAGCTTGGCTGGGTAGAGGTACCAGCAGATGCAGCAGCCCCTGCAAGGGCCCGAGTAGTTTCCTCTTTCATGGTAATTTTATTTTCTACTAAACTGTCAGTAAGGAGAAGGGGAAATGCCCTCTCATAGTCCTCAGAGCAGCCCTGGGCCTGTCGCCGTTCTTTTCTAGATCCCATTTTGGTTTTCTACAGTCCTTCTTGAAGTCATCTGGCTCTCTGCAACCAAAACAGTTCTCTACAGCGGTTTCCCTACAAACCTCGTCTGTAATTCTGTTGCTTTGCTCCCAGATACCAGTAGGTACATTAATTGGAATGGGTCCGAATAGGCAGGATTATGTATGCTAATAGTTAAATTCTTTGCAAACCCATCAGGGTCCTGGAGAGGGTTGGGGCGATCTTTAGTTAGATTCCTTTATTCTGGCCTAGTACAGGAAGAGTAGATTATGCTTGGGTATCCTTGTCCTGAGACTGGCTTTACGCTAAAGGAAGCTGCCAGAATTTCTAGTTTGTCTTGTTTCTTCGAGTCTCTCCTGGTCTTGTTTTCTATTCTGAGTGCTGCCTAAGTCAGTGGGGCACGGTGGTGGAGGGCACGTGGAAGAGAGAGAAGGGGCAGGGAAAGGAGAGGAAGTCCACACTATGACTTAAACGGCACAGCGGGGCAGCTGGAGAAGAGGAAAAAGTCGCACATGTCATTGAGCAGCTTTGGAAATTTCTTTAGTTCAGGAACAGTCGCTGCAATATTCTTATTAACTTCCTGGAAAGAAGAAAGTCTCTGTGCCGTTTCAGAGGCCAGTTGAGGGAAGAGCCTCTCATTCATTCAACTTGATTTTAGAGCCAGCTTTTTTTTTTCTGTTGTGCATGCAAAAATTAATTTGGGTGTCCAAAGAGCTTCATTTTGGCTATCTTAAGTTAATACCACTTCTAGTTAAGTCTTCTCATTTCTGTAAGTACTTGCAAGTGAAGACTCCCATCTGCAGGAGTATTAATGGGGGAGGGGAGGTCGTCAGCCTTGGAAGCACAATTTCCCATGTTAATTTAGTTTTATTTTGCAATCTGAAGAGTCGGAATAAAATTTCTTCGGACACTGTGCGGTGGGTTGAAGTGTGCTGCTTGTGGGTTGAGCTCCAAGGGGCTGTCACCTCCCTGTTTGCTCCCACCCTCTGGCGTGTCTCAGTTTCTCTCCCCGCTGTCTAATACAACCCAGTGCGAGGCAAACAGCCTCCGTGAGTGAGTCCTGGGACCCGTCAATGATTTCACTGCAGTTGCGTTGGAATCCCCCGTGGGGCCCTGCTCTTTCTGAGTGGTACTCTCTGACACCTCCTCGTTAATTTTTACTCGCTAAGGATATCTTCTTTTCATTGCTGGAGGGAGTAAAGGCCCCTTATCTTCGGAGCTGCACAAGTTCAGATTCTCATTTATCCAGCAAAAAATTTTGTTCAGTCTCACAGTAAGTAGTTCCAATTGAAAAGCCCCATTTTAAAACCACCCACCCATTTCTTCCCTGATAGTCCCAGAGTTATCTTAACCCTTAACCTTTAGTGCCACCTCAAGGATTTAGTGCCACCTTAAGAACAGCTCAAATAAAGATGGGGCCTCCTACCTTAAAATAGGGAGGTCTGGAATTTCAAGAAAACGTATCCAGATTCACCAGATGCGAAGTGAGGAGCTGGTGGGGTCCAGTGAGCTTCTGCTGGTACCTAACATTGAGCTGGGTCAGCAAGGTGGTGGGCTTCTTTGAAATCCTGCTGACTGTGCCGAGTAAATGTTGACATAAGAAACATCCAAACTTGTATGGAATTTTTATGAGTTTATTTGAGGCAAAATGACGACAATTGCTGGGAGGCAAAATCTCAACAAATTGAGGAAATGCTCCAGAGATTGGCAGTTTTACAGTTCATTTTATGCATTAGAATCAAAGGAGAAGATGTAAGGAAAGTTACAGGAAATCCATTCCTGGCAGATTAAGGGGGTGGGAAAAAGCAAAGCAGGGTGGGGGATCTCTGGGGTTGGATAAAAAGGCAAAGTAGGGTACCACAGACTCCCTTTACCTTGGTGGGTACAGCCCCTCGAGATGGTGTTCGGGGAACAAAATGGCAACGAGCGGTCTGTGGGCTCCTGCTCTGGCGCCTGCGGCTGTGCCCTGAGGGCTCCGGAGAAGGAGATCACTCTGACATTTCCCAGGTGTGTCATCTTGGGTGCGGACACACAACAGTCAGCCTCACTGATGGTAAAGGCTGACTTTTGTCAAGGAAGCTACAGGCATGACTACTCACCGTGACTCACTTTCAGTTAGGATTTTTTATGTTCCTATGTGGGTACCTTCCATCTCTGAGTTCATAGGGCCCACCAGTCAGGCCTCCCCTGAGCTCTACGGGTTTAGTACTTGGGCCCCTGTTTGTCCGCAGATTAGAGAGAGGAAGACAGGAACCCCACAGGCTCACACTTGGTCAGTGCTTGCCCTGTGTCTCCCTCCACCCAGTTTTCCACAGGGCAGCATTGCCCGGTAGAACTTTCCACAATCATGGAAATGTTCTCTATCAGCACTCGCAGTGTGGTAACCAACAGTCATCTGTGGCTGGCCAGCACCTGAAAAGAGGCCAGTGAGACCAAGGAGCTGAATCTTTAATTTAATTAAAATGTAAATAGCTGTATGTCACCAGTGGCTACCATACAGGATGGTGCGTCCATAGAGTCATTTAAGAATGAACTGAGACACAGATCTGTCCCACTTCCCTTGGGACCTAAGTGTTTCTGTTCCATTTTTCCTGCTACTGAGTTTAGTGAGTAGTTCACAGGCTCCTAGTGAGCTACTTGCCCCGGGCTTGACCTAGAGCAGATGATGGAAGGAAGTTGCCATTGCTACACACAGCGACACTCAGGCCCGGGGTCTGGGAGCATTGCTCCATGCACCAGGTTGATGAGGGGCTTTTGATTAAATAGCTGTGGAATTGCCATCAGAACATGTGGGTATAGGCATATTATTGGTCAGTAGATGCACAGATGTCGATTTTATCTGAAAACAACCCAGGTGCTGATTTTTCCTTTTCAGATCATGTGTCCAGTGTGACTGCTCTCCACAGAGGTAGAGATACATTATATCTGGATATGTTCAAACTGACAAAGTATTGAACACCTTCAGTTTTGAAGGTATTGTATTGAGCAAAGATATAAGTAGAAAGATGATTAAGATACGGTTCCTACCAAAGGGAACGTACAATTATCTATTGAGTGTTATGTGCTAAGCATCTTTCATAATTTTCATTTGATCCTTACAGCAGCTGTGTTTAAGGAAGACGTCGTTAGACTCATTTTAGACATAAGGAGACTGAGACCCAGCAAAGTTAAGTTACTAGTTCAGAGAAGCACAGCCACTTAAAGGAGAGAGCCTGGGTGCAAACCTGAGCCCAAGCTCCCATTGTGTTTCTCCAGTTTCATGGTGACAGCCTCCCAATGAGCCTTCTACCATGTTTCAAACCCTGCCCTCTCACCACGCCACTCCTCTGCTCAAAGCCCTGCAAAGGCTCCTTCCTCCTCACCTAGAGTAAGAGGCAACACCTTTACACAGGCCTGCAAGAACCTGTGTTATTCACCCTGTTACTTCGCTGCTCACTCCCCTCCACCTCCCTTTGCTCTGCTCAAATCATACTGGCCTCCTCTCATTCTAGGGCCTCTGTACCTCTGGGTCCCTCTTCTAAGAGACACTTGCCCAGATATCCAAACAACGTCATTATCCACTGCGAGTCTCTAAGTATCCCCTTCTCAGTGAGATGCCCTCTGAAGATACATTCTCCATCTTCCTACCCTACTTTGTTTTGACCTTTATGCCATTCTGATCTATTTTATGTCACTTTTTGTTAACTGTCTGTCATCATATCCCTGTGTGATGCATGAGTGTAAGTTCTGTAAGGGTAGGAATCACCCCTTCCCCCACTGTGTTCACTGCATTTTCCAATCATCTCCATGACGCCTGACACAGAGTGGACGTTCAGTAGATGACTGAATGAAGATGAGTGAAGCTCAGGTTTGCCCAATTTCAAAGCCAGACTCTCTTATATTTTTTATATCAGTACATACTCATTGTTTAGGCCTGATAAGTTGTCCTGATTACTTTCAAGTGCATGATTATGTAGAATTATACAGGAGAATCAGAATAACCGAGACAAATATATGTTGAGCTGGCTTTCTTTAGTTTTAAAATCAGTCTTGGTCTAGTTTTAATGAAGCTGTCACTTGTAGCTTCTCAAGTGACAATAAGGCCGATCAGTGTGGTCAAGAACTGCTGACAAACTTCCACATGTGAGGATACAGCCCAGCACTGAAGAGTGGCTTCTGTGTGTGCGCACGTGTGCGCGTGCCCATGTGTGGCTTTGTCCCCTGCAAAAGCAGAAATACTGGGCTTGTTATTTCCAGCTTTGTTGAAGACAGACATGAGAGGGCGATTAAGGAACCTGGTACCTTAGCCAGTGTATTTAGTGAGTAAGAAAGGATGTGGTTTTAGAATTAAGCTACAAGTTTTACCACCCTGCTATTCAAAATATTTAATAGAAATCATATTTTTTTTTTTTAAAAAATAGGTTATTCTTGATGAGAATTTGACCTCAAATTGTCCGGAGGTTATCTATGAAATTAAAGAAGAAACCCCTGTTTTTTACAAACTTGTTCCTCATCCTAAGAAGAATATGTACATCTATGTAACAGCTGGAAAAGAGGTAGGTAAAAATACTGGTTATTGCTTCTGACTAATGAATAAAAATCATTTAATTGATGTCATTACCTAGAGGCAAAGCTTTTACTTTGAACTGCCGAGTTTAAACATTGCTGCAGGCTTGGAGAAGACCGGCAGTGGTCCAAAGTCATGGAATTAAAAACATTACTGTCAGTAACTAAGCAAGAAATATCACCTATTTAGACAATTTTATTATTGGCTGTATTTCCAGTGCCAAGTTTTGCAGAGGAGGGTGTGCTTGCAAATGGGCACATAATCAGCAAGGTAACTGAATTTACACATTTATTGTGTGGGCACTGAATGGTTAGATGCATTTATGAATATACCCGGTGGGATTGGCTCTGGAATTTGGGGTTAATATTGGGCCACAGTCTCATACACATTCATTAACCAGGAAATATATGGCACTTGGCCTCCCTCTCTTAATTTACTTGGCTGTTTTAGTTTTTCTTCTTGCTTCTGATTACTGAATTACAAAGGACGCTTTTTTACATATTCTTCATTTTCGCAAAGTGCTTCACTAAGGGAAGGGGGAAACAAATTAATGTGTATTGAGTCCCTACTGACTATGTACAAGTCACTGTTCTGTGTGTAGCCTCTCTAGATGAGGCGCACAGAACTATGTACACACACGTATAATAGACAATGTTAACAAAAAATGTTAGTAATTTAATGATATGAAATTACCTTTGTTTTATATGTGAAGAATCTAAGACTTGGAAAGGTTAAATAACTTGCTCAAGATTATATATGGGTTAGGCCTTGTCAGGACTAGGACTTAAATTATGCCCTGATCTTTTAAAGCCCATGATAAATGAGATCAAGTCCTAAATTTGTGAAAACTAGAGTCCATTCTGGCACGGTGGTTTTAAGCCATGAATATTTGAACATGCAAAGTACAAGGAAGATAACTGGAACTTACATGGTTGCATAGGGGATGCAACAGATGCTCCTGGCCACCCCAGTTTTTCATTCTGTCATTTTCCAACATTTTGAGGACGATAGCAATGACGTTAATCTACATGTGCTGTGAGAGCCACACAGTAGGCATGCGAGCACTTTGTAGTTTCTGGAATTCCTAAAAGGGCCACATTGCTCTTTGCATGTTTAAAAGTCAGTTGTGTCAAAATGACCACATCAAGATGGCCACTGGACCTCACGTACCTTTGTAACCCAGTTCTTCACCAGACAGAATCTCCATTCAAAAACTTTCTATTATATTTCTTCCTTAGAGTTCCCATACTGAGAAACTTGTGTCTGCTCCACAAACTGCATGTATTCAGGAACAACCCCCACTCCCAGGCTCTATTCACCCAGACTGTCTCAGAGCTAGCTGTCGGGGAGCTGACTGCGCTGCCCCACAGAGCTGATAAAATGCCAGCCCAGCACCATGACCCTTGAGGCCTGGCTAAATCTGTGCACGTTTCCCCACTCAGCTTTATAAATCATTGCAAATAGCTCCGAGATCCTCATTACTGCCTTCCCTGGAACCCAGGACTGTAGGGCGGGAACCACTGGGAGAGCCTCCAGTAGCTGACAGGTTCTCCACTTTCTGAGGTAAATCACTCTCATCTCTGGTCATTCGAAGCCTGAAGTCCTGAGGCAAGTTTTCAACTGGGCATCAAAGCTGGTTATTCCTACATTCTTCAGTTAGGTTTACTACTAGACATCTTATCGGTAAGACTCTGCTTGGGCCAGGATAACCCGAGGAGAGATAAAACCTAAGGAAAGTCCTTTCTTAGATTCTTGGGCAGATAGTAAGAGCCAAACTAACATGTCCTGGTTCATCCATACAATGGTGTAGTGTGTAGCCGTTCAAAGTAACCATATGAAGATACATGCACTGCTATGGGGTAGTCACCATACTGTGTTCCGTTGGGGAAGCAGGTCTGGTACAGTATTTATAGGGTCTTCTTTTTTACATGGAGTTACCTGTTTGCGCATTTAGGTATACTATACGGTCATTCTTACAGAGTATTCTAGAGATGCATGTTCCACTCAGTGCTCTGAGCAGAAGTTGTCCTAGGAGCAGGGGTTACTGACATGTCCCTCGGAGTTACCATGACGCTGGGCATGTTCAAAGGCCCTCAGAAGCCTTGTGCTTAGGAAATCTGTTTTACTTTTTCAGTGTGAGGTTTCACATGTTTGTTGGACCGTGGAAGCTTTTCTCACATAGCTGATAGCAGCAGCAGCCAGCATTTATTGAGCATTTAGTATGTGCCAGACCATGTTTGTAATAACCCCATGGAGTCGGCAACACAATCAGCATTTCACAGATGAGAAAACAAGGTTAGAGAGATTATGTGACATTTATGAAAATCCCCAGAATTAAAAAGCTGTTTTGTGAGCTACAAGGAAATATCCACATTCTGGTTAACTCTGGCTCAGGCTGGTGGTCTGCCCAGCATGTCCATCAGCAGCACTGAGAACTGAGAAGTGGACAGGCATGTTATCCTTCCACGAAGTCAACTTAGAGTCAAAAGATATTCCTCAGGATAGCTTGTTTTCCTCACAAACCCCTTCTTGACCTCTGTTTCTCCAGCCTTTTTATGCACTTACTTACACTTTCTAGCATCTGTAGCTTCCTGGCTTAATGAGTCCCACAGTTTCTTTACTACCTGCTTTGGGATTCTGCCTGCAGTGACTGGGCCGTGTGACACTCCCGTCCCCGCCTCCCACGCCAATTCCCCGCTCCGCCCGCTGCCTGCATCTGCCCAGCACCAGTGCCCACTCTGTGGGCTGCTGTTTCCTGACAACTGGAAGAGATGACTCTAGGGGCAGGGAATGATTTGGAAACTGCCCCTTTTCTTTTAGTTTCAGCTCCAGTGCAGGGGGTATGAGCCATTGAGGCAGGCGTTGAGGCGATGGAGCTACCCCTGAGAGGGGTGTGGGAGGGTTCTCCTCACTTCCATGGCCACTGACAGCCGCCTGCTCCTCCTGGGACAGAGCCTCTCCCCATTTCCAGACACATTTCCAAAATACTGTTGCCTCTCTCTGCATGCAACCAGCTGACTTGGTTCCATGATCCCTTTCGAAGTCATTCTTAGCCAATCAGAAACCTGACTGTGTATCAGACTGACCTCAGAGAGCACCTAAAAATACAGATTCCTCTGCCCTTCCCTAGACCTACTCAGCTAGAGTCCCAATGGCAGGGGGCTGGGAATCTGTACTTTCAGAAGCTCCTGAGGTGATTCTGAGAAACTGCTTCCTACCTTGGGACTTGGGACGCCCTGCCCAGTGTCATTATGAAGACATCCAGTGTGGGAGCAACTTTGCTCGCAAAGTCCCCCCCATCCACCACGGATGAAAGTGAAACTACCAAGACATGATCTGCTTGGGGAGGAGAGGTGGCCCATCCCTCAGAGGAGAAGGGCCAAGAGCCCCTTCCTCAAGGGGCTTTTATTGGGTTCATTTGCACAAGAATACAGGTAAGGATCAGACAATAGATAGCATTCAAAGAACTGTGAGGGCTTATTCTCAGTCAGGGTCAGTTAGCTAAAGAGCCATAAAACTTTGAGGAACAAACTTCTTGCTTGGACCCTCCCCATTTAACTGAGAGCATTCTAAACAAACCAGGCTGCACAGGATTTTACATGTTCTTTCTTAGGTCTGATCACCCTGGGGAACCCGCCCTTTCCAGCACAGGGCTGCACCGCCTTCCCCATCACAGATTTTTAGGCTTAAGTGGATTAGAGACAGAAATGGGGACTCGGGCTATGTCAGAATAGTTGGGGGGTGAGGGTCCATCACTCCCTCTTTGTTGCAGCCCCTCACCCCCCCAGTCCTTCCATGTTGGCCTCCCAAGTGATTGTGTCTGGTTAGGTTTCCCTTCCTCTGAGGGGTCATACCTGTCATAGACTAACCGACCAAGCACTGGGGCCAGGGGATGAAGTGGGGACAAGCTTTGTCTCCTTAGTGGCTTGCATTCGGAGGTTGCTCACTCAGCCTTATCTGTGGGGGATAGTTACAATTTCTGAAACCAGGCAGAGCGGTTCCCAACAATCCAGAGTTTGAGCCAATAAATGTCTCTCTGTGGCCCTTCATCAGATAAGGTGTGGTGGTTTTTCTGGTATTGCTTATTATTCCATCTGAACTGCTGTCATCTTTATTTTTAGGTGAGGAGAATTGGAGTTGCAAACTGTAATAAACATAAATCCTGTTCGGAGTGCTTAACAGCAGCAGACCCTCACTGCGGTTGGTGCCATTCTCTACAAAGGTATCTCCTGAATTCTTTCTCACCGGCTCACATTTTCAGAGAAGTGTCACATGGCAGAGCACTTGTTGCCCCGTGTTAACAATTCCCTCCAGTGACCTGGGGGGACTGATCTCCTCGCTGACTAAAATATCACCGTGTAATTCTAATTAATTCCCGGAGATGTTCCCAGCCATGTTGGTGCTTTAAGTCATTCGACCCGGACTACGGGGGGTCACCTACTCTGAGGGTGCGAGGGGCAGATAGGTGACATAGAGGAGGGGAGCCCGGAGCTGTCAGTCTGCTTTTACTTTCTACAGATTCTCCCAGATTTGAGAGAGAGGTGAAGGCACACCCTCAGGGGAGGTAAAAGAATAAGGATGTTTGAAATTTTTCGACTGAATCCTCATAACGTCACATATTCAGTTGGTGCAGTGGAAGCCTTATTATTGATGATGTTGTCTCTGAAGGCGCCATACAGCTGTGGGCCTGGTGCACAACCTCAGGCTCTGGGCAGAATCTGTCCAGCCTCTTCGTGACTTACGATGCTCGTGACCCATCAAGGCTCAGGGGCAACTTGGAGCAGCTTCCTCACCATGGCAGCTCCTAGCATCACTGGGATCGGCCTGGTTGGATTTGCTGTTACTATGGTAACCCAGTACTTGGGCTTCACTATAGAAGCAAGGAAAGAGCCTGAGCTGCAGCTCAGGCAGAAGAAGAAAAAAAGAACATAACGGTGTCTGTCAGTTTGGCTCTTTCGGTTTTTAAAGGTAAAAAAGGATAAGAAAGAGTAGAACAGGTGGAGAATCTGGAGGCGGAACAAGGGGGCAGTTTGGAGGAAGAAGAGAGGGCTAGGAAGAGAACTTGGGGGCCTCTGGAGGAGGAAGCCAGGACCAATGAAGGGGGAGGGGGGAATACAATGTAAGCGAGAGGTTCAGGAAACAAACTAAAAACATGGGGCTGGAATTAATTAAGAGTTCATGGAGGAAGTCAAAAGCTGAGCTGCAGCAAGACGCATAATTGCCTGTGCCTTTCCCAGCGCCTCCTTACTGGGCTGTTTCCGTCAGAATCACTGGCAGACAAAAGAAGCAGGGCCAGGAAAATTCTCATGAATAATTGTAACTGGGTGGGCAGGTTTTCTTCTTGTCTTTTGCCCAAGAGTAGAGTTTAAGGAATTAACTGATCGTGAAGAGCATTTCATCGGCACACACCCACTAAGCAGTTTTGCTCTAATCTTTCCACCTCGTCCCACTTGCACAGGTGCCCGTCTATCTTAGCAGAACTACATACAGAGGTTCATTCAGTGACAGTGTGGTGGTGGTGACTGAACAGCCATACAGAGCTTGTGGCTACTCAACTGGCAAATGCAGGACACGGGAGATCTCCAGGCTGGCGACACAAATTGGGGAGTTTGTAGTGTTTAGATGGGACGTAAGGAAGCCTTCAGACCAGGTGGTGGGGAGGGGACTGTAGATTGAGGGCAGATGTAATTGGAGAACTGAGCACTCAGGTGGGTGACTCTTAGGGGTCCCGGAAATGAAGAGGAAACAGGACAGGGGAGAAAAAAAACTGAAGAAGGTGGTCTCTGGGGAGCCAGAGAAAGAACGGAGAAGGGAGTGGTCCACTGCCTGGTCACACTGAGAGGTCAGGCAAGAGGAGAAGAGAGTCGGTCCACTGGACTTAGCAGGTGACGATTGGTGACTGTGGTAGTGACAGTTGGGGAGGAGTTGCTAAAGCTGCAAGTACAGGTAACGAGGGCAGAGCAGAGACAACTCTTTAGAGGAGCTTGCCGAGAAAGATGGCAGGAAACACTGGAGGAAATGGAGTCCGGACAGTGTTGTTATTTATAAGGGGAGTAAAATAGCAGCATGTTGGGGACTATTGGGAAAGGTCCTGAGGAGAGGGGGAAACTGATGATACAAGAAAGAAAAGAAAGTTGTCAAGTGTTGTCTCTCAACAGATGAGGGGAGTATGACCTAGCACACTGGCAGGGAGGCCAGCCTCACGCAGGCGTGTGGGACAGCTCCTCCTTGGTCCTGGGAGGGAAGGTGAGAATCTGTGCCCGGGAGCAGGTGGGTGGTAGAAGCATGTACAGTGTATTTTCATATTGCTTACATCATTTTCAGTGACTTAAGACAAGTGAGAGTGAGAAGAGGTTGGGAGGGCGTTGAACAGAGAGAGGGTGTGAAATAGAGTAGGAGAGAGAACGGAGATGGGAAATGGAGAATGCTTACCAGGAAGTGTTAGGGCCCAGTTGAGGCTGGTGGTCTTGCTTTTGAAGTGAAAACAGTAAGCATGATTTTGCTTTCACAAGCCAAGTTCAGCTCTGTTGGCAAAGTAGGTGAGAGTTACGTGGAGCTTTTCCAGGAAGTCCTTCAAGAGGGGACAGAAGGGTCTGGGAGCTGAGGGTGCATGCAGCGGATGGACAATGATGTTGACATGGATATTGATACTTATGATAGTGAACTCTGGGCTTTAAGCTCTAAGTGAACCTGAAGGAGAGGAGTGAGGGATGCGAGAAGGTGGTAGGATCTGTGCACTCGAGGTTGCAGTTGGGGAAAGACTTGTTGGAGCTAGGAAACTGGAAAAAGGGCAGTGGACTATGGGGAGCTTGAAATTAATGTTGGCTCTGGAGTGGGCTGCAGGGAAGCCGTGACTCGAGGGGAGGGCCTGGTTTTGATACGAACAAGAAGGGGAAAGAGAGAATGGGAGGAGAGGTTGAGGGCATGGGGCTTTTACTGATGGTGAACTCTGAGTTCCAGGCTTCCACAAGCCTGCTCACTGCTTCCCTGGCTTTGGCTCTTACTCCTTCACTTCTGCCAGTTAAACTCCAAACCAGATCCTGTCATTTCCCAGCTTGAGCACCTCCACTTGCTTCTGTCTTAGAATTCAGTCTGCCGGGGCCTGCATACCAGGCTTTCCACAATCTGGCCCTTTGCTACTTCTCAGACCTCTCTGGCCACTCTCTTCTTCTGCCCTACCCTGGCCACACAAGCTTCCTTTCTGACCAAAGAGTGTGCCAGGCTGTTCCTGCCTCGGGGACTTTGCACTTGCTGTTTCCTCAGTCTAGAATATTCTCCAGATCTTCCCACAGCTGGCTCTGGCTGGATCATCAGGTCCCAGCACACACATCTCTGTGGGATTATCCAGTCTGAAGTAGCCTCACCTTACTCACAGCGACATCACTGCTTTATTGTCTTCGTGGCCCTACCACTATTTGAACTGATCTTTTCTCTCTGTCACTCCCTTTATTAAAATGTGAATTGCATAGGGACCTTGTCTTGTTCATTATTGTATCCTCCAGAATCTGGGACAGTGCCTCGTGCATAGTAGGTATATGTTAAATGACAGGAGTGGACCGAATGATTGGGAAACTCTACCAATGGCTGGAGACTTGTGCGTGAAGATCACAAAACGCTCTGGAGGTGTGGACTGGTAGCCCTTCCCAGCCATGTCCGGTTACTCAGTTTCACACTGGCTTGGTTCTGTCCTAAGATTAAATTAAAACTAAGCTTCAGATCCGTGACTCACATTTAGCTCCCAGTACCGTTCAAAATTAGGAATTCTAAAGGGGGATGTTTTCTTATAACTGTAGAGCATCCCACTGTGTTTATTTTAAAAGTCACAGATTTATTTAGAAAAATAACTTATTTTCTCTGTTGAGAAGGTTGAGCTTTCTTGCATACGTGTGTAGAAAGTAAATATGTTGGGAAGGTGGGGTAAGAAAATGATCTTCATTTCCTTTTGATGGGGTGTTAAGAATAGGCATTCAGTATAAGCAGATAAAAAGCAACTAGATAAACAATGAGCTCTAAAATGTCTTGTATTTTATTGTTGAAACTTCAAATCCAACCTGTGATGAATTTGTCTGTGTGGGTGGGAAGTAAATTTTTGCAGACCGAATATCTTGGGTTTGGAAGCAGTTTCTCAGCTTCTCCCATATTGCAAAGCATAGCACATGTGTTCAGTTATGGATTTCCACAAAACTGGCAATCCCAAACCAATGAACGAGTGAGGTTCCAAAAGTTCATTTGCAAGTTTGGCACTCAGAATGCATTTTCCCATAGAAAGTGTCATAAATTAAGGACTAATTCCCATGTCAGCCCACAAAATTCAATTCATTTAACTTCAACAAATATTTATCAAGTATCTACCAAGAATCCAATATGGGAAGTCAGAGACTTAGGTGGTACTGGGAGAGGTCAGTTGCCATTCTTGAACTTAAGGAATTCACACATTAGCTAGGAGACAGACATCTCATTGGCCAATGTTCATCATTCAGCCGAACATCCAATCAACAGGTATTGTTGGAGCACCTACAATGTGCTCAGCCCTGTGCTAGGTGCTTGGGATACAGTTCTTTCTTGCCCGTGTGGAGCTTGCAACTAGTGAGGGATGTAGACACATGTATTGCTCAGGTTTGTGCTGTAATAATACTGAGTAACAAACAAACTCTTAGTCATTTATAAGAACAAACATTTGTCTTGGTTTTATTTTTTGCTCATGGTTCAGCTTTAGCAGGCATAGAGGGTTGTGAGGTTCAAGCTGCAGGTTGTGAAGTTCAGCTAATGAGCAAAATAAGTTGCTGAATAAAAGAGAAACAGAGGCATGAATACATGGAACAGCCTTCCAGTTGTCAGAGGGGAGAGGAGTAGGGAGAATGGATGAAAAAAGGTGAAGGGATTAAGAAAAAATGTATACATAACACAAAGACACCGAAAATCGTGTGGCGATAGTCGGAGGGAATGGGGGCGGGGCGTAGATGGAGGTGGGCAGAGGGGAGAAAATGCGGGTGGAATGAGACTCTGCTTGGGCGTTGGGTGCATGATGCCATGTGCAGAGGATGTTTTATTGAGTTTGTGCACTTGAAACCTGTATAGTTTTATGAACCAATGTCACCCCAATAAGCTCAATTAAAAAACAGAGTTTGATTCAGGTCTGCCTCACATATCTCCCATTCTCCACATGCTCTTCTCAGGGCAGAGAGCAGAAGCCCAAGGGGCCAAGCCAAACTCTGCCACACA